GCTTGTCTTCATAGTGAGTAGCCTGGAAGCCTTGGGCCTTGTTGTCAAGTTTGGTCAACCAGATCTTTAGAGGCTGGCCAGGACGCTGGATGTACCAGGATGGGTAATTTGAGACAGGAAATTCTGCCTCATAGGAGCAATGGAGAGAAACAGGTTGTCCTTCAGTCACAATCAGAATGCCGGGTGTTTGGTCCACTGACTGTCCTGTGCTTCCTCCTGGAAAGAAGATCATGAAGAAGACATGAGGTGAGTTGGAGAGATGGACAAGTAGGTCCTTCTCCCTCTTTACACACAAACAAAAAAACACCCTTTTTTAAAAAAATTTGATTTATATGCCGCCCTTCTCCGGAGACTCAGGGCGGCTTACAATGCGTTAAGCAATAGCCTTCATTCTTTTGTATATTTTATACAAAGTCAGCTTATTGCCCCCACAAACTGGGTCCTCATTTCACCTACCTTAGAAAGGATGGAAGGCTGAGTCAACCTTGAGCCTTGGAGAGATTCGAACCAGCAGAAATTGCAGGCAGCTGTGTTAATAACAGGGTGCATTAAACCACTGTACTATCAAGGCTTTTGGTACTGTTTCTTGCTATCTGCAAACATCTATATTAATTATGAGGGCTACCCTATACAATTTCCTTCTTTGTATCAAACCCACCACCACTCACACCAAAACACATGCATGGCTTACATTCTGTTCTTGTAATTCCTTGCAGATGTTCCACCACCAATTTTCCAGATATTTTCCAGAGGATTCTATTCTATCTGATTTCAAGGAACCCAAACAACCGAATAAATGTCTAGCCAAAATTTATAGTTTAACATTGTGAGGGGTGGAAAAAATGCTTACTTAAAAATGAGATGATGATGATGATGATGATGATGGGAACTGATCCCAAGCACATTTTTCCAGATGAAGAACGGGGGTCAAAACTCAAACTCAAAAAAAAAAATCTTTGGAGGACTTCAATGCTGGTGTCACCTTTAGAGATTCCCTGCGAACTCTGCTTTGAAAGAGACTTAGAGGCTATTCAGTTCCTTCCTTTCACAAAAAAATCTGGTTTCTAAGATGTAAATTTGGTGATAAAGGGAAGTCAAACCACAGGATATGGTTCACAGAGCATACGTCCTACAGAAGAGATGAAGTGTGTCATCAGGTAAGACTCGTGTTGCTTCAAGATTGCCACCGTGTGTTTCAAACTAGGTGTAAAAAAATAACTTGGTTGAAAGAAGGATCCCATTGTTTGAGGTGATTTCTAAAAGAAATATACATGATTGGCCTGCTTAAGGGAAAAGAAATGGGAAAATAAATAAAAGAGAGAGACAGAGACAGAGACACAGAGAGACACAGAGAGACATAGAGAGACACAGAGAGACACACACAGAAAGACAAACAGAGATGAGGGAGGGAGGGAGGGAGGGAGGGAGAGGGAGGACAGAAAGAGAGAAAGAGAGAGAGAGAAACAGACAGACAGAGAGATAGACAAAGACGGAGAGAGAGAGAGAGAGACAGACAGACAGACAGACAGACAGATGGACAGAAAGAGTGAAAAAGAGAATGAGAAAGAGACAGAGAGAAAGTATCAACTGTCCGACTAGTGAACCCAAAATAAGGAAACACTCTCGGGAGCTTTGAATTCCCCAAAATAAACCTTTATTGGATACACCATTTTGGTACTGAAGAATCAAAACCAGCTCTGGTTTTCCCTCTCAAATTCTCGCTTAGTTAAACAATAGCTTCCCTTTCTCCCCACTCCTGAATGATCACATTGTCCAATTATGAGACATCCTTTTGTTATGGGAACAGTCCATCTCCTTCTCAAGCACCTGCAGGAGTGAACTTGATGGTTGCTTTATAATGCCTTGGTGAGGCCACCCTTGGAATACTGCGTGCAGTTTTGGTCACTATGATGTAAGAAAGATGTTGAGACTCTAGAAAGAGTGCACAGAAAAGCAGCGAAGATGATCAGGGGACTGGAGGCTAAAACATATAAAGAACAGTTGCAGGAACTGGGTATGTCTAGTCTGATGAAAAGGATTAGGGGAGACATGCTAGCAATGTTCCAATATCTCAGGGGCTGCCACAAAGAAGAGGGAGTCAAGTTATTCTCCAAAGCACCTGAGGGCAGGACAAGAAGCAATGGGTGGAAACTAATCAAGGAGAGAAGCAACCTAGAACTAAGGAGAAATTTCCAGACAGAACAATTAATCAGTGAAACAACTTTTCTCCAGAGATTGTAAATGCTCCAACACTGGAAATTTTTAAGATGTTGGATAACCATTTGTCTGAAGTGGTGGTAGGGTTTCCTGCCTAAGCAGGGTTTTGGAGTAGAAGACCTCCAAGGTCCCTTCCAACTCTGTTATTCTATGTTCCATACTTTAGGTAAAGGTAAAGCTTCCTCTCGCAGATATGTGCTAGTCGTTCCTGACTCTAGGGGGCGGTGCTCATCTCTGTTTCAAAGCCGAAGAGCCAGTGCTGTCCGAAGATGTCTCTGTGGTC